AACCATTTCAGATATTATCAAACAGATGGTAGGAAGGATCTAAGAATCCTTTCAAGGCCCTTTTCTTGGGCTGTTATTGCTGCTCTAAGCATTTAACTCTTAGGAGTTTGGTTGGAATTTAAGTGAATGTCCAAATTGTAATGGGCTTGGGATATGAATTATTATGCATAATAGGATATGTAATGTGGTGCATAAAGGGTAATTTAAAGGGGATAATAGTTAGGATACAGATGTTTAATGGGTTCAATTAGGGGAACTTCCATGAAATAGTAGCGGAGTTAGCCACGTGTAAAGAAGGATTATCTTAAACAAGCCTAGACAAGTTTAATATTAAAATATTGAAACTTTCAAAGGAAGAATTTATTTAGAAAACTGTAATAGAAGGTTGAGGTACAAGTTTGATGTGGTTTGACCAACCTCAACTAGAGGGTTCTTTACTCTTTAATACTTGGCCCATGACTTAGAAGCTGGTATAAGGCAGCTGCGTACTTGTCCTGATTAAGGAATCTTTTCATACATAGGGGACGGATATGCTGGTCAAGCTATTCAAGGAAATGGTCTAAATGACCCAAGAATTCTTTATAAGGTAATATTGCTGAGACCTGTAAGGGTTCCCCTTCTCATCACACTCCATTCATGAAGAAATTTCAATTTAAAACAAGTTATCACATGATCCAGAATGCCGGTTTTGGGTAATTCTTAATAAAAGAATTTCGAGTTAAAGAGAAGTTAGAAGGACTATAAGGAAAATTAGTTGGACTCCTCACCTTTTCTAACTCCTAAGCCCCTCCAAAAATTTTCCTTTTTTTTTCAAAGTAAAGAAACTGGGCCAAAGTCCAATTCAACCCAATGTCGCCTTCAAATTGAATTGGGTTAGGTTGGGGTGAAGGAATTTTAGGTTGGATTGTGGTAAGGATGATGAGTACATTGGATAGCAGGTCGGGTTGGTTTAGGGTTGACCTAAGCTGGGCCAGACTTAACCCCTAGCTGACATAGTGTTAGTGTGGTTTGAGGGTTGATTTTAGAGGATTATCCTAGGAAGGATCCCAGAGAATTCTAACCATTTGTAAGGGTTGTATGGAATACAAAAAACAAATATGGTTTGTGTGTTCACTTTTTTTATTTAGCCACATGTATAATGACCTCTTCAAACATCTGCATCCTCTCATTGTTATATATTCTTCTGGCTCCAGAACTCAGATGCCCAAGTTAAAAGTATCCTACTGTCTCTCAATGAATGAAGACTAAAGGGATTAATTAAGAAAGATCCATTGCTTTGATTGGATTCGACCCTAGTAATTTTCAAACATGGGTCCTGTCATAGAGGTGGTGTTTGGCTTGTCAGTAGGTTTATAGTAAGTTACTTGTGAAAAAGTGACTTAGATTGCTTATTGTCTGTTTATTTTACTTATTGACAGTCGTTTTTTTTTTTTTTGTCAAAAGGATAAGTATGTATTTATATGCTGAAAGGTACATGAAAGGATATAGCGAGTTGTAGTGTAACTTAAATTGACCCTTACATGATAAATAAGCAAAAATATGGGCCATTTGATTACATTGTCTATGTACATGTTTAAAAGAGATAAAGCTAAAGGAGGATATTAGTCTTTTGAGATGGTTATCAGTTGAAAAGTTATTTATCTGTAGTGAACTAAACACCCCCCTTAAAATGAATTAAGCAAAAGAGAGATTTATAAGATAAAAGGATATTACATTGTTCAAGGAACTCTAGAAAGAACTTTCAATGGATTGAGTCCGGTTCGGAACAGGGCGGACCAGTCCTGAACTGATTATTAGTCGGTTTTATAAAATATATCAAGAACTTAACCAATTATTAGACCCAATTATACTTGATTGGAACTTAAATTTTTTATATAATAATCAATTATACTTGATTATTAGTCGGTTCTATAAAATACATTCAGAACTTAACCAATTATATTTTTTTGGAACTTAATTTTAACCAAAATTATCTTATAATTGGTTTGGGTCTTAATTAGTTTGAAACAAACAGTACCAATCCCGACCCAATAATTAATTGGCACACAAACAATATAACCAGAACCAACGTAACCGGTCCGGTTGGTTCAGTTCCTATTGGGTAGATCCAACCCATTGATAACTTTAACCCTAGATTCTGCTCCAGTAAAAGGTCCTCAATAAGATGATGTACATACATTGTATGTTCTCATCTAAGGGGAAGTATGGGAGTGCTTAAAAACATGTGCTTATTCTAATAAGCACTTATCAGCATTTGGTAAAAAAAAAAAATGCACTTATTTTAAACAGGGGTAGTATATGTATTTTAAAAATAAGCCAGAAAAGAAATAAACAATTAAAAATAAGCCCAAAACTTATGCTTCTCAAATAATAAACACTTGTATGGACTTATTTCCCAAAGACAAATAAGTATTTATTAGTATGGTCCCAAACCAAAATAAGTACTTATTCGAATAAATACTCTTTTTTAAGCACTCACGAACTTAGTCTAAGGTGGTTTTTGTCACCTATTGAAATACAAACTCAAAGCAGAATGTTTGGTATGTGATAGAATTTTTGGAGCTACACTTCATTCAGTAAATAAGTAGGTGAAGAATTCCAGAAATGCTGAATGCGGCATTCTCAATTTTGAAATATTTTCTCATGATTAAATCTACCTGATACGAATACTGTTTTTATGTACACTCTAAGAGAAGGGAACTGTTGTGCGGCTTGTGCCGACTATCTTACTAGTAAAGGTATTGATGAAAACAGATTGGTCTTACTAGACTCCAACTCTCATCTTCCTCAAGCTCTCATTACTTTGTGTCGAGAGGCTTATATCAATGTTCCTATATTATGTTTGGATTTTTAATCGTACTAGTAAATATGTACGTGCATTTACATGTGACAGTATCTTTAAAACAAAACTATTTACAATTCATAGACAGTTTTTGGAGTAAGAGTAAAGAACATATATACCCTCTTTTATGCCCGGTGTATGCTGCTTAGATAAGGAGTAAAAAATATCCAATGAAAATTCTAAAAAAAAATGGACATTCGCTCTTTTATAAACAGTATAGATTTGTTGGGTTTGGGCTGAGTTTTCGAGGGAAAATTATAATTCTCTTGGGTTTGGGGCGAGGCGGACTATGTCCTCCCCGATTATCTTTTATTTGGTCTTTGATAAATTTTGGGGCTCTAAAAAGATAAAAATTTACCTGATTCAGCAATATAAGCACTATTGTTTGTATGGCGTATAAGCACCGGGGACTTTTGGAGCTATGAGTTGAATTAGGGCTTTATATTTACGACTCTGAGCCAAAAGGCCCAAAACTTAGCTTGAATTTCAAGCCCATTTAAAAAACAGGTTGGACCCTGGCTTAATATATGGCCCAGATGAAGTCAGACCCATTATCTCTTGTATCATTTGAAGATGCTCCATATCACCACTTATGGAAACATATAAAATGCATTGTGTAAATGCTAAATCTAGAAACAAGAGTTCTCTAACAAACCAACATGAGACAAAGGATCTTTCGTTGGCTGTTTCTTTTTTTATTTTTAATAGAAAGGGTTGAATTATATTAATGGGTTTATTTTAGATACCAGAAAGAAAGATACTTGGTGGTGTTTGGTTGGAGGAATCAAAATAATTTACTGGAGAATCAGTGATTGTGGGGAGGTTTAGGAAATCACTGATTTTTCTAATAAAACGTGGACATGCCAATAGTTGTTTGCTTGCATGTCACTACCAGAAATCAATTGGAAAATCACCCCCTCTCCCCCATTGGCGAAGCTTCTCCCAATTCCCAAAGCTTTGAGAATCACCCCCAAGTTATGTAAATCGTGACTAACTGATTTTCGAAAAATTGGTCTTACCAAATGAGAAAGTTTCATGTGATTTGGGAAATCAGCTGATGCAACAAATTAATTTCTCCAACCAAACATCCCCTTAGATGAATTGATGATGGATGGATGAATCATCTGTTGATCACCAGTTGAATCACCTAAAACCGGTTCCATTCCACCTTTGGGACCAAAAATGTGTATAACTCAACTTCTAAAACTGAGTAAGCAGCTCACAGAGTCACAGTGACAGTCAGAAACTGGATCAGGCTAAAGCCACGTGGTTTTCTCTTGCAGATGCCATCCCTTGAGACAAAACAGTCATGGTTGGGTGGTTGGTTTTCCACTGTTCAGACTTTGTGAAATTTTTGGAAAGATGTGTAGATAGATGGATTGAAATGAATAACCCCCTCCCCCCACAAGACCACTACCGGCTGTGAAAGGAGATGGTCCTACTGCTACTGGATAAATAAATCTAAATCTAAATCATAGAATGCCGTTAAAGAAAGAAGCTGCTGGCACCTAGAGCTAGAAATTCATCTCATGGCCACGCAGAGGAGTCCACAGCGAAAGTGAACACCCCATAATCGAAAGACTACTCTCTCAGAGACTCAGACCTTTATCGTATTTTAATTTTTAAACTTTTCTTTTGAGTTTTTCCATCAAGATTCCGTCTTTTATCTTGTTTTAACCCTTTTTTACTCCAATGGCTCCAACTTCAACCTCAAGCAACGTCTATGCTCTATACCCACAGGGATTTTGGAAAAAAAACCAGTACTAAAATACTAATAATGTCTTTGGTTTTGAAATTTGAATCACCAGACCCGCACTGAACAGAATGGAAGGATTCATGATTCATGAAGCCGGACCCATATAGTTGGTTATTTCTAGGCTTGATGATGATGAAGATGAATTACCAGACCCCACTTTTCGTGTGACCAATCCATTCCTATTCCTTGACCCATTAGTTCCAGTTGGCCTCCTCCCAAGTCTCACTCACCCATGATTCAGACTCTGCTTCAACTGCAAATCAGCAAAAGCACTGTCGTAGACTTTTGTACAACGGCAAAACAAAGCTTCAAATACAGCAGAGTTGTTCCTCTCCCTCAGCCATGGGAGCTTTACTTGGTTTCACCTTCAAAACTGATGAGTTAGAAAACAAATAAAGGAAATAAAAGGAAAAGACTGGTTCATATTTCGAAATCATAAAAAGAATAGACAGGGATGAAGTTGGCGGAAACAACACTACTACATCAGAAAATAACCCAGGAAAGAAAAGGGTGGAAATTTCGATATATATTTCTCTCTTTTATAATTTTCCCACTAAGTTGGGATCAAATTGAAAACTCAAATTGGAAGAAGAAGAAGAGAACGCAAAAGGAGGAATCAGCAATGAAATCCTAAGACTGATCCATCGATCACAGCAATTGCAACCCTACAATCTGCCCTGGCCTCCACATGGTGCGTTAGGAAATGTAGAAACCTTACTCTGCCCGCCATTCTTATTCTCGATTCAATCTCTAGGGTCGGTCCGAGCCGGAACTCACTATTAGTGTCGTCAGCGGAAGTGAGTCTCCCGTTTGTTGATGCGGCCAACGGGAATGAATCGACGGAGAACGTAGCGGACATGTATTGGGTATGGCCAGCATCGATCCTACCGGCGGGGATGAACATGAAACCAACCTGGCTTCCAGAGTAGAGGAGCTGCAGAGAGCTGTCGAAGTGGGTGAAGACAGCGTGGTTAGGGTTTCTGACGGAGACGTACTGTGAGAAAGTAAAGTTGACGGTGGTGCTGGAGATGGAGAAGGTGGGGAGCTGGATGGCGCTGACGGCGACTCTTGGATCCTTGGGCTTGAAGAGGGAGAAGAAAACTACAAGAAGTACGACGACAACGAAGATTAAGAAGATGGTCGCCACGATGCATGATGCCAGATTCGTACGGCCTGATGGAGGTCTCTGAGGCTTCTTGTTGTTCATTTTGCTTTTCTCCTTGTTTTTTTCATTCAATTCAGTTAACAATGGAGAGATGGGCTCCGACCTGCGAGATATATTCCTCACTTCCAACTGAAACTGCTAGTCTTCCACACACACAAAATCTCTCTCTCTCTCTCTCAGAGATTATGTCTATTGATGAAGAAAAAGTGCAGATGAAATGAAAGTCAGGACTCAGGACGACAATATGAGTAAAAGTTGCTTAGTTTTGTCCTAATCTAATAATTTATGTTATTATTATATTCTTAAAAAAGAGAAAAAAAAAAAGGGGAACAAGTAAGATGGACGGTTGAGATAGGCTTTTCTTTTTTCTGTTCACTGTCTTTAAAGGGGGATTAGTCTTGAATTTCGATTTGAAATCAGGTAGATATCGGTATTGAAAAGTGTATAGGTAAAATTGAAAATGGTACACTTTTGGGAATTTGGAAAGACACCAATAATACTTAGGAAAGATCTAGTTATGTATTGTAACAATAACAAAAGTTCTATTAATACAACAAAAACATCCAGTACATCCATGAGAATATAAAATCCATAAATCAAAGGGTCTTAAGACTTTTCTTTTAATTATTAGAACAAATATTCTATTTTTTTATTTATATAAACTACCAAAAATTTAAAAAAAAAATGTTTTCTTAAGTAAATTGTTGATGAATCAAAGGAGGATTTGATAGATTATTCGTGGATCCATCTTATGTACCTTCAAATTTTGGGACAAAATCATGGATCCATCAATGTCAAATGAAAAATAGAATGCATTATCTTCTTCCTCCTCATCTTCTTCTTGATTCGATCGAGTGAGTTTTCTTCCATTTTGACACAAGATTAGTGTCACATACAAAAACTCTCCTACCAGCATGTAAGATAAAAGATGGAAAACTTGGAACGGAAGTAAGAAAACTTGCCACCAACACATGTTGTTGGTCCACATGGACTAATATAGATCAGATATGGTATGATATGGACTATATTAATTGCCACGTGTGAATGAATGGGCACCAACCCCAATCCACCCGGGCCACCTAGTCCTTGTGAAAATGCATATAATACACACTGCATCAAGAGAAGCATGTTACATATTAAACCTTGACAAAAAAAAAAAAAAGTACCCTAGGGACCAGACCAACCGGCCAAGGGACGACAGGGAAATTTTAATCAATGGCACAGGCATAGCTGGTTGGGTTGGCCGTGTTAAATGATGCACGCCACTACACACCCCCGCCCCTCAATCAATGTCTCAGCGAGGGGAAAGAGAGTTCGCATCAGAGCGCACTCCACCTACAGCACATCGCAATCATGTATTCGGAACTAGTACGAGAAGTGCATATGCGGCGCTAATGKAAACTGGGTTGGGAAAGAGATGTCTGTCCGTCCAGATTTGAGAGTTGGGCTTGACACCCCAACACCCACAGAGCGTGCCCCAACGGTACCCATCCACATGCTCATCTCATGGTTGGAATTGGATTGTTCTGTTGGACTTCCATGGGAATTCCAGATTTGGAGCCTTATCTGAATCCGCATTTGTTGTCATTAATGGGAAGAAGGCTCTCGTTCAGATGCACGGCTGCCATGTACTGTGAGATTGGTGTGAGGTTGTCAATCATGGATGGGAAGATGTTCCCCATGCACGCACGGCTGCAATGTAACGAGGTTGGTTTGAAAAGCAAATCCAATTGCTCTCTCTGCGACTTGCAGAGCCATGACTCACGCGTCGGCGTCGTGTCTTATGTCATGTACGAGACTCATTCAGCAAATTTGTATTTGTAAAAATCAGATTTTGTTAACAATATATGTATCAAGATAGCCTAATTAATAACGCAGCCCAATCATGCAATCAAGTCTCATTGAACTATAACATAGAAGGGAAGGGTCCAGGATAAAATGTGAAGAGAGCATGGGAATTGGGAACCAAACAAAACAGTCGCAGTTGGGCAAAAGTTGGGATCAGCAGCCACACATAACCAAACCCATTCATTGCAATTTGTAACATTGCCACAACTACTGCATAGTCATAGACGCCTTACAGTTACAGGTACCTAACTAGTGTGTCAGAAACTCAAAATACCGTGACATAAGCCCCCTTACACTTGCAAAACTGTTACGTGATTGTTCAACTTCAATTTGAGCGTAAGCACACCTGACCAGCCTACATTACCCAAGTGAATTGTATGTATGTACCYTCCGTTCTCAACTATGAAGGTACCTGCAATACAAAAATTAAAAAAACAAAAAAAAATCTGGAAGACAAAATTTAAATAATTATTATACATCCATTGCATACAATTCTTTCATTACGATCCCGAGTTTTGGTTCATCTGCAGAAGCAGAATAGTTGAAAGAATAAAATAAACAGGCAAGTAGGAGGACATTTAACAAGTAAAACAAGAACTGCCGCTCACCTCTTTGTGGAGGTAGTAGTTGCGCAAAGTCTCAAGTTTATAAACAAAATAAAGTGGGCGGGTGGGAACCCTAATTCCAGCAGCTAATCCACATAAAATATCCATCCTGCAGTCCATCCAACAATGGACCCCATCAACCATCCCTATTACATACATATGTACCATAACATATGCATATTTACACATATATATACCTATATATTTCACTGCAGTTTGATGGTGAGCTCGTCGAGGTGGCGATCCATGATCTGGGAGACCGATTCAAGGAATGCAGATTCACTCATGCCAGGTAGAACACCATCCTGCGCTTCACGTACAATCTTCTCAATTACAGACTCCTCCTTCAAGGTCTCTCTGCACATGATATTTCCGATGGCAAAGGGAGTGAGCCCTCGTTCAGCCCCCTTCTTCAGAAGCATGGTAGATATGCACAATGTACGGGCACACTTAGGCGACACATCCCACCCATGGAACTTCAGAAGGGCAATATCTTCTTCAGCATCCAATGAATTTATGTATTTAATGGTTTCAGGATTGTATGGCACTCGGGCTTGTGGCCAGTATAGCCAATCAAATGTGCAATCTTCAAACTGTAAGAAGAATAGATGACATGTAGGATGATAGAAACTGGTAAGGAACAGTATAAATGAAACTAAAGATAACAATAGGAATTACTGTCAAGACACACCAGGAAAGAAAGCAGCATTGATAACTAGCCAACTTGCACAACTAAATTAATTCCTAGTTGCAGAACATTCTGCATGATAAGGAATGAATATTTCTTTCGGCTGTAATAATAAGCTTCCACTCCACTCTTCAAGGGTGACAGAATGCTTAGGGAAAACCAAGAAGCCATCTAATTCACTATTGTTAACGGATATAAGTTGGAGACAAATTTGCGATTCACCACAACATTGGAAAAAGTGCTATAAAAAGTYTCCCAGTGCAATCATGTAAGTGCCCCTAGGCATCTCCTCAGACAAGAAAACTAAAACATGACATTAAGGATATTTCTTTTCAGAAGGCCGTCACTAAGGACATAAATTGACAATATTCTGGTATGGAAGATTTGAATGCAGTTAATTCACCTTTTCAACTGGAAAACCAGTCTGTTTTGGTATCCCACTTATATCCTTGATACATTTAATGGAGATAAAGAGGTTAATAAAAAWCAGGAATTCACTACTCGAACAGAAAACAAGAAATAAGGTTTAATATGTATTGTCGACACAAGAATCTTTTCCTTTATATTAATACTAGGGAAAAGGTCTACCTTCATTAAAGAGAAACATATTTCCCTTTATCTAATTATCTCAACCTGAGGTGCAAATAATGGGATACAGATATACCCTCAGAAAGAAATAAGTATCATCTGAATATAATGTATTATAAGCAAAATATGAAGTCATTGCTCAAAAAAAAAAGAAAAAAAAAAGCAGAAGGTACATATCCAATCCACACATAGCCAAGATCAAAATTGGGTAATAACCCTTTTTAAGAAAATATATTCCCCCTATAGTTAAGGTAATTAATACATAATATAGTACAGAACTTAGATTAAAAATTAATCTTTATTTGCACAAGCTTTTAGTGAATCTTGGTAATTCTGCATATTTCACAGCACCTTCCCGAAGAAGAGAATCAGAATTGCATAACTTGTATTAGACTCTAGTGAGGGAGGAAAGCTATCACATGTCCTAAAAATTAGAAGAAAAGTTGAGGCTAATAATTTCGTTCTAGTAGAAACAAATATAGTGGATTCAGGATGCCACATGGCCTACATCCACCCTACTCTCTGTTCAAACACAGATATTTCGTAACACAAGAGGTATTTGAAAGCACAACTAGTTAGGTAGATGAGATCATCTCCTGGGACAAAGTAGGAAGGAGTGGAGAGGAGTTCACAAGCATTTGAATTAACATGATACATACTTCCTATGGTTGAAAACAATTTTGCACTAGAACTTAAAATACTTTACATACAAAAGAAAGAGAGATACCTTTAAACAACAACAAGATTCAGAACTACTTATATAAGTTATCACTCATGGAGCTATTAAGACAAAACAAAACAGAAGAAGAAATTTTTGAGTTAAATGAGCAGAAGCAACAGAAGTATGAAGCATAAGAAGAATACGGGAAACACTCACATTCTCTGGTAAGCAGTATCCATGATCAATAGGAATTAGCATGATCTGGCCCCCATCATCTTTGTTCACCAGAATATTCCCAGCATGTCTATCTGCATTCGCCAATCTTATATCCAACACAGAGATCTTATGAACCTCTTCCACCGGGAAAGCCCGAGGACCCATGTCCTCACAGCTCCCGATGTTCTTCTTGAACATCTGCAATGATCCAATCTTTATGTTTCTAGGTGCATACTGATAACCTTCTGGATGATTAAACCCTTCATGCAGACATTTCACCATAACCGTTGGGGGGACCCCAGCAAACCCAATTTCCTCAGCAGATATTGACCGAGGCCCCTTCAGTGGGTGATCCAGAATGTATGCTGCAACTTCTCTCAATGCCCCCTCACCCACTCTTGTCCCTATCTTCAACCCTTCACCATCAGAAGATACTGGAAGCCCCCTAGGATTATTCACTGCCTTGGGTTCCTCATCAATTGGCTTAAAAACAGACGCATAATTGTGACCTGATGAATCTTGCATAAAATATGCTCCTCCCGAACCCTCAGAAGATCTGACAGGTTGGTTCCCTTTGTCCAATCCATCAAATGTAGATCTAATCAAATCTCTGAGGATAGAAGATAATTCAACCTTTGGATTAACAATAACTGGTTCCAACAAGAAATCTCTGTGTGGAGGCTTTCTAGCTACAACATGAAGCTCCTCAGGTCCTGGACTCTGGCAGTTCTGCCCATTTACTTCATCATTATCATTATCTCTCCTCTCATTTGAATTTGATGCAACAATGGACAGTTCGAAATCTTTCTCAACAGGTTTAGCCCTAACTTTTGCAGATTTTCGAACCAGCAAGTGAAGCACAGCGTCATTGTTTTTACAGATATCATCGATGAGCCACTGGTCCTCAAGTTTCTCTCCATTACATATAAGCTCGTGGTCCTCTAGGTCGACCAAACCTTTTCCCTTTTTGGCAATCTTCTGTTTAATGTATCCTATATTTCTACACCTCTCAACATGAAACTCAAATTCCTTCCCACATGCAGTCTTAACAGTGATTACCTGGAGATCAGAAAGCCGGAGAACCAAATGCAGAACATTTCCATCGGCGACTCCATAGTCCCGGACAAGAGAATCATTCCGCGCCAGCTCCCTGCCTCCAAAAACTAGCTTCTGCTTACTCACAACAAAGCCTTTGGAGGTCTGTATTCTTAGCTTCATTGACGCAATCGAGTCGGACTCCAATACACGCATGGGAATCACAGAACCGGCAACTGTTAGGTAAATCAATATCGACTCATCGGAGCAAGGACCCGGCCAACCATGGAAATACCCAGGRGAAAGTACAGATTCTTTACGAATCGGACTAAGGGCGACACCGGCGGTAGACATTTTTTATACAAATTTTTATGCCCTAATTTATGGTAAAATAGCTTAAATCTTAGAATCCATCAACAATATCTCACGATCCTTGCTGAAAAGGGCATCAGATGGAAAAGGATTGATTTCCCTGAGGATGGAAAACCCTAAATCTAACGAAGAATGCGGGAAAAAAGCATGTACAAAAGGGGGAAAAAACACCAAAAGGAAGAGGAAAACTAAAGAAAAATCCAATTTCAACGCTAGCAATGCATTCCCTGGCCCTAGAATTCAAGAACAAACCTTAATCAAAACAGATTAAGGAATTGCCCTCAAAATCTTAAAGCAAAGTCCTCCCTATCCTCCTCCAAGAGCAAAGCTTTCATACAAAAAATGAAACCCCAGTTAATCCTGGAAAATCGGAAAGGCGAAATGCGGACTTCTTATCACAACCGAGTTTGCTTTCGAGCTACTACTGCTTCTTCAACACAAATCCAGCGCCACTAAAACCGATTGATCGTCAAAATTCTTTCTGGAATGATGTTCTATCAGGGGTTTTATGGATTCAGGAAAATGTAGGATTTTTCAAACACGAAAAAGAAAGAATAGAAAAATACTGAAACGGTAAGACTGAGGAAGAGAAGGAGAGTGGATTCTTACCAAAGGAAAGAACCGAGGATGAAAAGACAAAGCGAAGCTTAAATGGAAGAACAGATATAGCAAAGATAGCGATTAATTGACGAGGAAATGAACGGATCTTATCTAATTCTCGGAGATGATAAACATGACCAGAATCGAGATTGCTCTGACCTGCCCTCGGTTTGTGAAATGTCCCCCAGAGATTCGCCTTGTATTTTTCTGCTCTGAAGACTGAGAGACAACAAGGGTGAGAGATTTTGGAAGAAGAGAAAAGGGTAAYCGAGACCGCCTCCGTCGGCTCTTTATACGCATGGACCCGATCTTTTGACGGAAACTCTGCGACTACTAACGGCGTTTAAGGATGTACACGGTCTTTTGTCCTTTCTTACTATTCTAAAACTAATAAAAAATAAAATATTGAAGAAATAATATTAAAAGTTATAAAAAAATAAGGTTCAGGCAATTTCATATAAGATGCCTGAATATGTAGAAATTTTTACTTGTTACCCCCTACAAAGAAAATAAATAAATTTAAAATAAGGTCCATTAAGTTTTATGAAAATAAGAGACTGATGAGAGTGTTTGTATGTGTACTCCAAATACAGTAATGCATGGGATTGAGCACCAATTTGATCGGGTATGAGGTTTTTTGCTTAAGCTATGTTTGGTTTGAACGAAAAGGTAGAGAAAAGAAGTGAAAGAAATGAAAATCTATACAAAGTTTGTAAGGTTTCATTTGGTTTGTGGGAAGATTTGGGTGGAATGAGAAAAGATGGGATGGGATGGGATGGGATGGGATGGGATGGGACGGGAAAGTGTAAAAATTTATACTTCCACTGTTTGGTTTTATATATTGGAAAATAATGGGAAAAGCACTATTCATCATCTCCTACTTTCAGACAATGCCGCCGGAGATGATAAATASTGTTTCTCCCAGTCATCCACTACTCGTCGCACTACTACGTTGTTGTACGCGACTACATTTCCGTGAAGTAGAAGCGTGCATGCTCACAGATCCCCCAAAAGTATCTCCCCAGCAGAAGCAACCGTTGGAATGCTTTGAATTGCGTTTCCAAAGTAGTATAGATCAATCTTGGGTTCAATTCGTAGACAACAGTTCACTGCCATTCGGAATGTGGTTGCCTTCGAAGGGGGGAGCTTTCTTGCTCGTGTGACCGAACGCCATAGTTGGGCGTAGAGAGATTAGAAGGATGAAATCTCGACCATCTGATCGGCGATTTCAATAGCTTGAGAGTTCGAAATGGCGTTCCTTAGCCAGCTGTCGATAACAGAAGTTATCTTCCCATTGGGATTCTAGTTATTATCACTTTGGGGTTTCCAGCCATCGTTACTTTGCTTCCGCAAAATCTCAGCCTCGACTGTTAATCTGTTTGTTATCACTCTGGATTTCAGCTTCAGTATCAACTGGTTATTATCACTCTAGATTTTCAGTTGGTTAATCTCAGCTTCAGTATCGCTGAAGCTATTAATCTTAGCTTCAGCCTCGACTARTTATTATCACTCTGGATATCAGCTTCAGTATCGCTTCTCTACTGAAATGAAAGATCCTCTCACTTCAAGGGGCGTCAACAGAGAACGTCACCTGGGGAATGCCCTTAGGGAAGGGGAGGTAGCATATCATCGATGGTTTTGGTGTGACCCCTCCAACTCCTGCTTCTGGGTTTGAACATCACTATCACCGAACTAGCTCTTGCTCCTGTATTCTCCACACAAGCTGTTCCTCATTCCCTCCTCTTTCTCAAATTTTTCCACCGGGGGTCGCACGGTTTTGGTGCGATCCCAAATCCATGATTTTGGAATCTGACATTACACATTTTTCTCATCCCATCCCTCTCCTTCCCTCAAAACAAATGAGAGAAAAATGAATATTTTTAAAATATTCCYTTTTTTTCATCCCCATCCCACAAACCAAACAGAACCTAAGGTTTTCCTATTTTTCCTTTCCTTTTCCTACTTTTTCTTTCAAACTAACATAACTTAGGGTTGGTTGTTAATCTAATCCAAACCCATAATTGATACCTAAGCTTTATTAAAACCCTAATTTTAGGGTTTTTGTATAAAACTTGAAAGTATTTTGACTTTAAAATTGTTTTTTTTTAAACAACTTTTTAACATACGCATGTTCAAGACAATCTTCTTCTTCTGTTTTTTTCTTCTTTTTTTTTGGCTCAATTTTATTTCCTGGTTCCTTCACCCCAAGGCTTAAAAGCAAAAACTTGTCACAAAGTCCAAACGTCGCTTATCAAATCTGCACTTTAATAATAATAATAAAAGGCTCCGGGGTCAGGGCTATCTCCATCGGGCATCGGTGGGGTGACGGGACGGAGACGGCCGTTGGGTTGTAGGGGTCATTTTTGGTTGAAGCTGGCAGACGATATTTAATTGGAAGAGCTGTGAAAGCATTGACACGTCAAGAATGGAATAACACGTGTCTGACTGTAATTAGAGAAAACACGTGAACATCTGAAAAATCAAAAAGTTTGGTCTCCATCTCCACACATAAGAATCTAGTTACAACGTCCAAATTCCAAACCCTAGACTTGCGCGATTCAAATTAAAGTGGGATGGGGATGGGGTCCACCGTCCACGTAAATACGCGGAAGATGGTATCATCATCGTCATCATCCAGATTCCAAACCGAAACGAAACGCGCGTCCCCAAAACTAAAACCCTGTCGGAGCCGTTGGGCTCAAACTTGGGCCACACGAAAACGAAGGAAGTTGGACTCTTCCGTTTAGAGATCCAGACCCGATCCCCCTCCCTCCCCCACCGCACTCAGTTTCAGGAGGAGAGAGCGTTCGAGTGCTGCTGCACAGCTAGCTGTCCGAAGCTTTTCCTCTTATTCATTAGCATTTTAGATACGTGTGGGCATGGAATTGGGATTTGCTCCTCACTCAAGGGCGTCTCAAATTTAATTCACAGACATTTTCACCATGCATTGAGAACATAAATAATAACGCATAAACACGAGAGATATTCTCAATGCATAGTGAGATGTGTCTGTGCGGCGCCCTGTTTGACGAGCAAATCCGATTTTGTGGGTATGGGTGTGCGTCCACCGCCAACTCCAAGAGGAAAATTCCAAGAAGCCTGTAACCACAGGTCCACAACCTCAGACAAAGATGGGTCCAAATTCTGAAGCCCATGAGATGAGGCCAAGACCAGTCCACAGGCCATAGCGCAAAAAATTGGACCACATCAATTCAAATATAGATATCTTTATTTTTATTAGAGAGATATTAGGCCATTACTACAAATTACAAATATATTTATTTTTAATAGAGGTTTTAGCCTTTTAGGCCATTACTACATACTGCTTAATGCGCATCCACCGTTTTAAGCTTAACATGACAAAAAGATTTTAAAAAGTTTTAAGAAAATCCATTACTTTTAACTTGTACCCTTAGTATGATAAATACAAAATTAGGTTTATGGATAACTGTATAGAAAACAATAATCAAGAGGTTTTAAAATAAGTAAACTAAAACAGAATATATGCGAACGTTTTAAAAAATGACTCAGAACCGTTTTAGCCACCCGTTTCTGGGTCGACGGTCCGATTGTTCGATTTGAACGGATGGTTCATTCTGATAGAAGAATTAAAAAAATAAAAAATAAATAAAAAGCGGTCAAAAATCATTGAATAGGTCAATAGGTCGACGRTTCAACAGCCCGGGTCAACAGTTTATTGATTTTTTCAACGGTTTTTGACCAGATGCTAGGTTTGGGGTTAAACGGAACCGATTGCCTAGACGGTTCCCAGGCCGAACGGTCTGATCGTCTGGGTCAACGGCAGTTCGAAAACGTTGATATATGCAATGTAAAATTAATAATAAYAAAAGTACATAGCAAAGGAAAGATTGAGGAGGATGCCACTAATAGATTCAAAGCATGATGAACAAATTGGAGGGGTGCATCCGGAGTCTTATATGTGATAGGTTAAAAGGAAAACTCCATAAAAATAGTTGTAAGACAAGCGGCAAAGTGTTAATGAGTGTAGTAAAAATATAAATTGTTAAATGGATGAGTGGTAAAATTAGAAATGACAGAGTTAAAAATGAAGTTATACAAAAGAACGTAGGAATAGCTCCGATAGATGATAAAATGAAAGAAAGTATATTGAGATGATTTGGTCATATGCACAGAAGACCATTTCAAGGGGATGGAAGAATTAGAGTCAGACTAAAAGAATAATTTGGATGGAAGTAATAAGAAATGTTTTAAGCACTCATAATTTAAAA